ACTTTTATTTTGTAAATTAACGATTAAATATTTTTGAGTTTGAAAACGAATCAAAGCGGATTTTACAATAATTTGTCCATCCCTATCTAAGACGTCAAAACTATTATTATGGCATGTACATCCTGAAAAACACGATCACAGCAAAAGACACATACTCCTTCATCCAAAAATGGTTAGAGAGATTCCCAGCTTACAGAGAAAAGGATTTCTATATAGCAGGAGAGAGCTATGCAGGTTTTGACTTAGTACTCAAAAACATTAAATATAATATGGTATGTGGTTTTTATTCATGTTTTGATTTATAAACAAACACATATAGGAAAGTACATACCGGAGCTTGCAGAGGTCGTTTATGACAAGAACAATGATAACTCGTCACCTCATATCAATCTTAAGGGCATTTTGGTATGTTTCTATTTTCCTACCACATACAAAAACATCGCACCTTGTTTGATTGATATTATAAGACATTTCAATACGCTTAGTTCTACTAACGTTTTCAGTGGTGGTCCATATCTTTTATACGCTTTGTGTTCCTTCTTACTTCAAATGTGAGATTCTTAATAATATTCAATACCAAATATTTGAAGTTTGGGTATTTACTTTTTTTTTTGTTTTAATTTTACAATGCTAAACAAATTTAATGTACAAATTTTTTTTATATAAAAATAATTATCTAAACTTGATGAGCTTTCCTTATCATTGGTTAGCTTGGAAATCCTGAAACATCAGAAGCCGAAGATTGGAAAGGATGGGTGGACTATGCATGGAGCCATGCAGTGATATCGGACGAGACGTATGGAGTCATAAGCAAGTTTTGCAATTTCAGTAGTAACACTACTTGGGATATTAAAGAATGCAAAGACGGAGTAGACGAAGTACTCAAACAATATCATGAAATTGATACATATAGTCTCTACACTCCTACCTGTATTAGAAATTCAACGCTTAATTCCTTCATTGATTCGAGGCGATTCAAGACTAATCTCGCAAATTCCAAAATGGTAACTAACTACTACTCATTTACTAGTGTAGATATATGTCACATTGTGGGTTAGGTCTAAAACTTACCTGAAAATCTCAATAGATGCCGAGGTTGATGGGCGGATACGACCCGTGTTTGGATGATTACACAAGAGTCTTCTACAACAGAGCGGATGTTCAGAAAGCTCTTCATGCAAGTGATGGTATACATCTCAAGAATTGGAGCATTTGCAAGTACTACTACTCTTGTTTATTTATTTTATTTAAATTCTTTTGGCATATATGTTTTACTTATCGGAAAAAACTCTGTTTTTCTACGTACCAGCGATGATATTTTTGATAATTGGGCTGATTCAAAGCCCTCGGTTTTGCCTCTATATAAGAAACTAATTGCTGGAGGATTGAGAATATGGGTCTACAGGTAAACTTCAAGCTTCTATATCTTCCGTTTTTAAATTTGATAACTTTGACGAATGAGACTCAAAAAGTAAAATTTATACTTTGTTTGTATTTATTTAAAGGAAATGATAAATGCGTTTATAACAAAACTTTGTTCGGACTTTGGTTTGAGATCTCCGATTATTTTTGTATTTTCTGGTACGATCATTTGCTTATGTTTTTTCTTCTTCTGCTTGGTGTTGGTTCAGCGGAGATACCGATGGAAGAGTTCCCGTACTTGGGACAAGGTACTGCATAAATAAATTGGAGTTACCCATCAAGACAGCTTGGAGGCCATGGTACCACGAGAAACAGGTCAACATGGCATCTAAAAAGTTACTAATTGATATGTCATCATATACTAAGTGTGGTTTTTGAGATCATATTGGTTTTGTTGATGAATATTAGGTAAGTGGATGGCTTCAAGAATATGAGGGTCTAACATTCGCAACGTTCAAAGGAGCAGGACATGATGTGCCTTCCTTCAAACCCGCCGAATCCCTTGCATTGTTCTCGGCCTTTCTCAATGGAGTTCCACCTCCTTTGTCACGATAGATAGAACCAAATTATATTGAAGATTATAAATATGATAATAAAGAAATTCTAAGAATTTAGACACATAAAATATGTTTTAAAGAAAAAAAAAATAATTGACGTCCAATTCTAAACCGTGCGGAAATAATCAAATCAGAACGATATCATTTAAAAATTTTAACTGCCAATTCAAGACTAAATGACGATGAATAGATGGATCCGTAACATTTTATATACAAACGAGATGACTTTCTGGAAATAAAATACTATATTATTATTAATGGTAGAGAACTTCATGTGAGGTTATAACGAAGAGACGATGTCACAAATTATAACTCATGATTTTAAACTTTCAGTTCGAATTATAACAATCTAAAACATGGGAGGTTTGTAAGTAAATAACACAAGACCACAATAAAATCGCATAAATTAAACAATGATTAACCAAGTCCAATGTAACACAAAAGTTTTTGGGTTGAGAATCATTGAAGTTCATACCAATAAAAACAGAAAGTTGTAGATAGAAAGATCCTACATAAGAAAAAACAAAAAAACCAGAGAATCATAAAGGTAATTCCGAAGTTGGATAACAAAAGAGGCATTGCATCGCATTGCATTCTCCATAAACATCTATGGGATTGAAAAAGCGGATGGACACAATTCGAAT